TTGGGATACCGTGCCACTGCGTGTCCGGCGCCCTGTCTTCAGACTCTTCCTTCGCTGGCTCATTCTCTCCCCATGTTTCCAGCTGACTTTTTATGCACGCGACAGTTGCTCCTTGTCCCAGTTGAACGTCCAACTCTTGGATTTGTCCTGCGAGGACGATGGCACCACTTTCCTCATCCGGCTCAGCCTTCTCCCATCCTTTTCGGTATGTGTGCGATCTCTTGATGCTACCTCCAGATCTGCAGCACCAGCAAACTTCCTCGTCTTCGCGTACTTCTGCTGTTTTTCCTAAAGTCGCGGCCTTGCTTCGTCTCGAGGAGCTGGATGATTCTTCCTTTCTCGATGATTCTCTCTCAAGTCTTGTATCCTCCACTCGTCTTGACGCATCACCTTCCTTTGTACGTCGGCCGTGTCCGGTTCCCGCTAATTGCGGTGTATCACGCGCAGCCATGGCTGAAAGGTCTGAAAACTTTCCCCTTCCAATAGTCAACTGAGGCTCCAAAGTAAATCACTCCCTGCGTAAAAGTTCAAAGACTCCCTTTTCCTAACTTTGTCCCTGAAAGCCACTGGACAACGCACCGTACGAAATCACAGTCTCCAAGTTGCGAGAAAACTTCCTATCCCACGAGTCAAGGTTCTCTGGCAGGGGGCCAACTTCGGACCTGGCAATGTCCACCTGCTCCCCCCCAGGCCCACAACCCAGGGGGAAGACAGGCCGGCGCCCAGCCACTCCCCCCCGAAGGGGACCAAGTGTGGCGGGAGACTTGAGCCAAAATGTCTGCTCCCTCTCTCTCTCTCTCTCTCCCTCCTCTTCTTCTTCTTCTACTGGCCATGCCCACTCCCGGAGCGCGCCGCGGTTACACCCCGTGGCCGCACGCTGAGCAATGGTTCGAAAGCTGGGTGAAATCAGAGTTTGTCGGGCTGTTGCTATCCCCCCCATCTTCTTCTACCCAACCCCCGTATCCGGCGCCCTTCCCCTCTGCCCTTCGGAAAAAGTCGGACGCTACCAGGCGTTGAACATTTGTTGCCTGGAAAAAGGTGGCCAAGGTAAGGTTGACAGATGGAGCCTCTTCATTTGCAACCACCTCTAAAGACACCAGGCCTCAACTCGCCAGTATTATTCCATCACCCTAGCCTCCATTTGCCCCTGCATCTCACTGTCTTGCCAAATTGGTTAATTCCGTCCCTGTTATACAAATTCAACAACACTTCCCAAATTTGGCGCGCATCGTGACTGCGCTCTGCCTCGAATTTCAGTCTACCATCTTGCAGCTTGAGTTGGCTCGCTATTGTCTCAACGTCCTGCTTTGTCGTCGATTCTTGCCCTTCGCGCTACCTCCTCCTCGTCCTTTGCGCTTTGGTCGCCTGTCCGAGTTTGCTCCCACTGTACTCGGTGAAAGTCTTCCTTTCGCAGCCAGACAACCAAATAAGCCAGTTGTTGTACTCCCGCGGGTTCAGCATTTTTGTATCCGGTCTCGTCTCCAATTTCCTTTACAGCTCTTCTTTGTCGGAATTGACTTCCTCGATACTTTCATCTCCCTCTATGGGAGTATCCTCCCGCGGCATCATAGGAGATGCTGGCGGCTCCTCCAGTTGCCATCCGCCGCCTCTTTCTTCTCCTCTTCCTTGTGCCACATTTGTAACGTCCCATGATGAGCTCGGTCGTTCACTCTGTGGTTCCTGCTTTGCTTCTGTTCGGCTCTGTCTTGTTCCTTGATTGCCTTCTGAATACTGCTTCCTTTGCTTCCCACGCCAATCGCTTTTTTTGCGCTGTCCTCCTGGCCTGCTCTTCTCTCACGAGCGCCCGTGATACTCTTGCTGTTGCAGGGGGTGATACCCTTTTCCTTTGCGCTGCCTCTCCCTTTGCCTTTGGCCGAGTTTCCATGTCCTCTTTTAGTCGCTTCTTCTTCGTTTCTGTTGGCTCCTCTTTCCTTTCTCCCCCAGTCCTCTTCTCAAGAGCAGCGCCTTTTGGACATGCTCAAGCTGCTTGTCGAGGTTGAGGCGGTCGACTTTCTCTTTTTCTTGTTAGGCTGCTTCCTTTCCTTCTTCGCCTCCTTCTTGCGAGGTTCTGCGTCATCAGGACTTCCCGACGTCTTCTCATCTGTCTTTTCCCGAATGCGTAGCAAAAG